TCCATTCGGCAGGTAATTGGTAGTAATGTTTGGTAATTGATAGCAATTACTAGTAATTAAATGCTGAGCCATTTCTTCATTTAATATTGGTTTCATTCCATGAACCCACTACTAAGAAAAAGAATTAGTGGTTGATAACCATGTCATGCTCTCATAACCAAAGGAAGTACAGAGTTAAGGAAGAAGCAGCTAATGTACAAGGTTGGATTGCTTTTGTGGTTCTATACTGAAGTAAATATCCCACATTATTTAATTAACAAACACCGGAAGTTGAATGAAAAAAAAAATACATACCTGGAATGCATTAGGCCTTCAATAGACATGAATTTCCAGATAATTTACTATTTTGTAGGTTAACTCTAAAATTTCTGTATTTTCTCAAGAGATAAAATAACATAAACTTATTTATGTGTTTTATGAAATACTTTAAAGCCCATTACTGTAGTGTGCAATTGATATCGTGATAGTACACATTTATTAAAAGGTTCTCTGAACTTACTTAATTCTAAGAGTGATTGGCTTAAAATACCAGTAATTTATATCATACAAGTGAATAAAACTTCAGAAGTGTGTTTAAATTGAGGGTTTGCAAATACATGTCATACAATACCAATTTTCAAAGTCAGGTATTTTATTTTCTCTTTGAAGTGCTGACCACTTCCTTCCCCTGTTTCCAACTTCTTGGTCCCTTTCCCAATTTTCACCCCTTTTCCAACCCACAACTGTAGCATTTTGAGGGATAGTGCTGTGGTTGTTTCATGGCCAGCTTCTCAGGATTGTATTTTTCTTTTGTTAAACCTCTTTGAAAACATACAGCTCTAACAATTTAAAGACTATGATGTTCTCAAATCCCTGTCTCATCATGAGTGGTCCACAAGGTCCCAGAGAGGGACATTTCCCATATTTATTCTTCCTAAGTGAATAACAAGGAATTTTGATATAAATAATTTGAAGTCCTAAACACTTAAGAGGACACAGATATTAAGCAATCATTATTCTATAGCAAGTTCCAGAACTGCCCTGAATTACTGATTATGAATGGATATATAACTTTTCTTTTTATTTGGGTTATTTGTGGTCTGGGTGAATTATTGAAAGCATCAATATAATTCCCTTCAATTTATAAATATGTGGGAAAAAAAATATAATATTTTGGAACAATTAGTAAAGTAGGATGACTGAAAGGCAACTATTTCTAAGCCCTTGAATTTTTGACTCCTCCAGGGTTGTTGATCTATTTAAATATATAGTGGTGGGGCTATGATCAAAATCTAATGATCTCTTCTGTCATTGAAACTAAGTATATTCAGTTAAAAAGAGATATCTGCTTATGTAACTCTCTTGAAAGACAAAAAAAATTAAAAGAACAGTTAACTCTACATAAAATTGTGAAGTAAGAGAAATTTCTAACTGCCTCAAGTTAGTTTCTGCCTCTTGCATAACTTCTCTTTGAAGTTTTCCTCTTTCCTCTCTCTCCAACAGTTCAGTGTATTTATACCTCCCCAAGCCAATTTCTGTTCAAATACCTGCTCTCAGGTCTAATAACTGTATGACCTGGGATGACTGCTTTCATCTCCATCAGTGTTGGATATAGGATCCCACACAACATAATGACTAACCAGGGAACCTGGTTTTCAGCAAAGGAGGTACAAAGACAAGCCTATGACTAAGGAATGAACTAGTCATATAAAGTACAACCCCACCTAGAAACTTGGAAATATCAGAACTAAAGTGCCAGCTTGGAGGCAATGCCAAAGGAAAATGGAATATAATCCTCTCAGCTATTATATACTCATTGAAACAGTAACATTTTATATGTAGCTGTGATTTCCTCTGCCTCTAGACATACCCAATCAAAAGACTACATAGGTCTAGGAACCAAGAGATGGAGGCACAAGTGACCTCACTTAAATTGTTCCAAATAATTTACTTGGCTATTTGTGATTTCTATACCTTCATTCCAGGCTCTGCATTTTTAGCAATCTTGGTTCCCCAAAGCAAAGCACTTTCTACCAGGAGATGAAGCAAAGTTCTCATTGAAATATCAGCTGTGACTGCCACCAGATGAGCAGGGACTTAGAAACTTCAGACTCCAGCAGAGATGCTAGAAGAGGGAGAGTGTAGCATTCCCTGAATAGCTGAGGTGGCAGAGGCTATAGCTTCTCACTAACCATCTTTTCAATTTTCCCCATGCAAAGATATATAGAAGAATCCTGAGAGAACAGCTTTCAGGATTTTTAAGATGACGACAATCCAAACATACAATGAATAGATTGTGGTGGACAATCACATTTGACCACATGTTGCTCATATCTCCCTTCAAGGAAGTATCTTTTTTCCAAAGCTGAAAGGGCTGATCTAATCAATTTTTAGCTGTCAGTCCTGTCAAGGTTTATCTCAGTTGCAAAGAGCTCCTTGCACAAGAGAAAGAAGATTCAGCGAGTGAACAGGTAGCCCTGGATAGTTTACATCTAAAACTAATAGATGAGGAACTCTAAATGTCAGGCATTGATCTAATATGAAACAAATCCATGGGTGATCTAAAGGTCAAAACTTCCCATGGTATCATCTGTGGTTGTCATTGAGCTGGCATCACAGCTTGAGTTATTATTTCTCTGCAGAATTTCACTTCTTTTCTCTTCCTTTCACAGGTATTAATTGCAAGAGCACTCCTTAATATATATTGTGTATGCTAAACTCCCTTTCAGAGTTTTATTCCTGGGGCACTCAATCTGTACATATGACAGTCAAGGTTGTGATTTGTAGAAGTATCCCAGTCAGTGAAAATATATTTGATATGTTTGGTGAATGGTTAGATTATAAGACCAATTTACTTCTTGAATCTTTTAAATAAGTAAGAAATGAATTACTGATAAAATTTTCAATCTTCTAAAAGACTCCTTTCTTATTAGATCATTATAGTTACAAATAATAGTTTGGTTCATCTCAACAAATTCATACATGCTTGGAATTCTATTTCAGTTCATGTTCCCTACCTTTTTCTTCTCTTCTTCTCTTCCCCCATTTTCTGTCCTCTACTTTATTGCTTATCTAATTTTGATTGGTTCTTTCTACTTATACATAAAGGTGAAATTCTCTGTGGTATATTTATATATATGCACACAGCATGACAATATTGTGTACCTATCCAATTCTTCCTCATTACCATTCCTCCTCTCTTCCTCTCAATCTTCTTCTATTCCCCTAATCATTCCTATATCTTTTTGATATCCAGTTCTTCCCTCCTTCTTTCCTATATTTTGTTCTAGCTTCCACATGACAGAAAACTTTGACCCTTGATTTTATGAGACTGACTTATTTCACTTAGTGTGATGTTCTCCATTTCCATCCATTCACCAACAAATGCGATAATTTCATTCTTCTTTATGACTGAGTAAAACTCAATTGTGTATAATTTCTTAATCCATTGACAGGCATCTGGGCTGACTCCATAATTTGGCTATTGTGAATCGAACCATTGTGAACATTGAGATATCATTATAGTATGCTCATTTTAGTTCTTTGGAACAAATATCAAGGAATGGGATAGCTAAGTCATATGATAGTTCTATCTCTGGTCTTTTAAAGAACTCTTTATACTGCTTTCCAGAGTGGTTGTACTAGTTTGCAGTTCTACCAGCAATGTACAAGTGAACCTCTGTCCCCACATCCTCACCAGCATTTATTATTGTTTTGTGTTCTTGATAACTGTCATTCTAACTGCAGTGAAATGAAATCTTAATGTAATTTTGATTTACATTTCCTTGATTGATAGAGATGTTGAACATTTTTTTCATATATTTATTGGCCATTTTTGTTTCTTCTTTTGAAAAATTTCTGTTTACTTCTTTTGCCCATTTATTGACTATGTTATTTATTACGGTGTGAAGTTTTTTGAATTCTTTATATGAGCTAGATAATAATCCCTGGTCAAAGAAGCAATGGGCAAAGTTTTTTCTCATTCTGTAGGTTCTCTCTTTACACTCTTGTTTCCTTTGCTTTATTGAATCTTGTAAATTTGATGCCATTACACTTATTGATTCTTGGTTTTATTTCGTGAGCTTTAATGGTCTTGTTTAGGAAGTCCATTGCAGCATCAATATGATGCAGTATTGATCCTGTTTCCTTCTAGCAGTTGCAAGAGTTCTGGTATAATTCCTAAGTCTTTGTTCCATTTTGATTTGACTTTTGTGCAAGGTGATTGATAAGGATCATGTTTCCTTCTTCTATATATGGCTGTCCAGTTTCCCAGCACCATTTGCTAACAAATATTTCTGGCACTTTGTTAAGTATCAGACGGCAGTAGGGGTGTCTCTGTGTCTTCTATTCTGTTCTATTGATCTTCATGCCTATTTTGATGCCAATACCATGCTGTTTTTGTTACTAAAGTATAATTTCAAATCAGGTATTATGATGCCTCCGGCATTACTCTTTATTGAAATGTTCAACATCCCTAGCAATCAAGGAAATGTAAATCAAAATTACACTAAGATTTCATTTCACTCCAGTTAGAATGACAGCTATCAAGAAAACAAACAATAATAAATGCTGGTGAGGATGTGGGGACAGAAGTTCACTTGCTGTTTATTGCTTTGGCTGTTCTAGGTCTCTTATTCTTTCGACTTAATTTAAGGATTGTTGTTTCTAATTGTGTGGAGAATATTATTGATATTATTGATATGTTGATGGAGATTATATTGAATCTGTATACAGTAATGGTAGTATTTTGACAATATTAATTCTCCTTATCCAAGAACATGAGAGGTCTTTCTATCTTCTAAGGTCTTTAATTTAAATGACTTCTCTTGATAAGCAATATTCTCTTTAAAATAAAGATAGGGCTTATGTACTTTTGCTAAATTTGAAAAATATTTCAAATGGGTTGAAAGCAAATTTAGATGGTAAACACTTCAAGTTATTTTTCAGAGAACTTTTTACTGTTCTTTCCCACCCTGAAAAGGGCAGGTCTTAGAAGTTTTCATGATGTTATAAGACATATACTGTTCCTAAAATTATGAATTTGCAAAGGTTAAAAATTCTTTTATGAGTATTCAATTTTTTTTTAATTTACACTCTCAAACCCGAGCACTTACCATGTACTGATTGAGAAATAGCCAAAGTCAGTTGGTTCAAGGTATAATTTCTGAACCCTGGCTCAGGCTTTGAAAACCAAAAGCCTAGCCTAAGTTCCAAAATCCTTCTGTAAGATAAGTTCTAAGCCTTTAGTGACTCTTCCATTTGTGCCCTTTATTTCTTAACTATTTTTATTAAAATAAAATATTTAAAGAAAAATTTTGTATGTTTAATTAACTTTCACAAAGTACACAAAATTTAAAAACAAAACCCACACCAAAGGCCCTTCTCCTGCACTTTTCCAGTTGCTACTCACCTCTCTAAAAAGGACTATTGTTCTTCCTTGTCACCATAAGTAGTTTTGCCTATTTGGAATACCATAATCCTAAAATACGTGCTCTTTTGTATCTGCCTTCTTTTACTCAATATTATGTTTGTATCGAGAGAGCCAACTCCACATTATTGAATTTATCAATGTTAAATTCATTTTCATCACTGTGTATTTTATAATTATTTCACATATTTTACTTATCCATTCTAATTTTGATGGGGTTTTTTTAGTATTTAATTATTATTACAAAAGCTGTTATGAACAATCTTATGTATGTCTTTGGTATAAATTGACCCCTCAGCAGTCACGGATATACCTAAGAGTGAAATCAATAGATCAAAGGACAGATATATTTTGAAATTTATTATATACTGAACACTTTTATTGAATTTTATATCTTTCTTTTATGTGCCATGTAGACAGTACTTACCCCATACTAAACAGTGTGTCACTTGTGTGAGGATAGGAACCTGTCACATAATGTTCAGCACTAAGTATTTATCATTTGCATGTGATCTTGTGGAGCCTAGAAGAAATAGATAATACAGCAAATAACAACAATGATAGCATTTATGAAGCACTTATTTATTTATTTATAACACTTATCAAGCCAGACACTTTTAAAAAAGTAATGTATGTTTTAATTAATCTGATTTGTGTGTGTGTGTGTGGTGCTGGAGATTGAACCCAGGA